GATGATACTTGGAGAGTTGAGCTTAAGGGGTGAGGCAAAGGAGAGGGGGGCGTAAAAATCCAAGTAAGAAAGGGTGTCATTGTAGGAACAGTGTCCAGGGGAGGGGGACAGGGCAAGGTCAGGAGCACTGGGCAGTGGGACTTGACAAGGAAGAGATGCACTGCTTCCTGAGGGCAAAATGCAGCCACCAGTCAGTGGGTGTCTGCCTATACTGGTAGGTGATTCACATCCATTTCTTCATTCAGTCCTCCCCAAACCTCTGTGAGGTAGGTGTAATTATCTCCATTTTTCCAGATGAGAAAACTGAGTCTTAATAACTTGCTTCAAATCTTGCGCCCTAACCAGTTTGGCTCAGTGGATAGAGCGTCGGCCTGCGGACTGAAGGGTCCCAGGTTCGATTCCAGTCAAGGGCATGTACCTTGGTTGCGGGCACATCCCCAGTGGGGGGTGTGCAGGAGGCAGCTGATCGATGTTTCTCTCTCATCGATGTTTCTAACTCTCTAACCCTCTCCCTTCCTCTCTGTAAAAAATCAACAAAATATTTTTTTAAAAAAATCTTGCAACTAGTAAGTGTCAGAGGCATAAATGCTGCATGTGTTTATGCCTTTTCCCTAGAGGAAGAAAGGAAAGGACTTACATGGTGTGGAGCTGGGATTCAAACTCAGGCTGTCTGGCTCCAAAGCCCACACTCTGCACCACACCCCGTCCTGCCTGTGGGGAACAAACAGGAAGACAGGGACGGGGCTGATGTAGATGTGGCGCCTGGTTGCCTCCTGTGCTCTGTGGCTCATCCTGCCCCTCTCTCACTCAGGATCCTCCAAGCAGGCCTGGAAGTGGACCGTCTCTCCCTCAGGAACTTCTTCCATCACTTCCATTCCAAGCGAGGCATGTGGAACCGCCGCCAGATGAAGATGCCATAATCCCAAGGGGTGGCCCACTGGACCGACCACTTCCTGCCCCTTGACTCGCGGCTGCTCCCCAGCACCCTGTGGACTGCTGGGGGAAGTGAGGTGGGGAGCAGAAGCCATGGCTGGGCCCCCAAGGCCTCAGCATAACATCCCCACTCCACTGGGAGCTGTCCCCTTGCAGACAGCTATCGAGGCCCCTCTCTCCATCCTCTGGGCCTGCAGACGGAAGACGGAAGACTTTGTGAAGGGCAGCTTGAGGGGCTGCTCGCTCACAGTCACAGAGGCTGTGCAGTTAGGTCAGGGAGGAGAAGACCTGCTTGAGTGACACCATCCTACATCTTTGAGGTGCGTGCCAGCATTCACCCTGCGCTCCTCACAGGAACAGCGACCAGGAACTGGAAGCTCTTCTATTGGACATATTTTATTGGGGTTCCATTTTTTTTTTATCAGAAAAGCAAACCTTAACTGCCCAAGACCCAGCATTGACTATAAGAGGGGGATGGAGTGGTGCCTTTAGAGAGTGTCCCCACTTGCATACCTCAGACCCACTCCCGTGTAGAGCTGTGTCCCTTGGTCTGTGATCGGCAGCTGATTTATAACCAGAGGAGCTGGCCCCATGAGGAGCACTTCCTCAGCTCTACCCCCGGCCGTGCCTTGCAGAGTCACGCACATCTCTCCCAGGTGGTCACTGAACTGCTGGCCACCAATTAGGGCATTAACCTTACCCTCCAGGCAGTGCTCACTTCAGGCCCATCAGAAGCACAGAACTGGCATCCTCTTCCTGGTGCCACAGGGGTTGGGAGACGAGGAAGTGGTGGGCAGTGGGCTCACCCTGGTGTTGGGCATGTAGGCCAAGCAGGACAGGCAAGATGGAGGAGGCAGAGGGGAAAGAGGATGTGGGTGTACTAAGTAAACCATGACGTAGATGAGAGGAGGGGCCAGAGTCAGCGGGAAGGGATGAAAAGGGAAGTGGGAAGCTTTGAGTCCTCGAAGCCCAGCTCCCGGGACTTGCTGTCCTACAGGGAGAGCCCCAGCCGTGGCCTTGAGTGGAAGAAGAGGAAGGGGTGTGGGTAGAAGGGAACCATATAATGGACCAGGGTAGGAGGCAGCAGGGTGGCAGGTTTGAGGAGGTGAGGACGTGGTTCTGAGTTCTCTTCCCCAAGTGGAAGGGAGTAGGACTAGGAGGAACTAAAAAGTGAAGCAAGTTCAGGGAAAACAGCCCTCGGCCTTTATAGTCGAGGCTACCCTTTCTGTCACCTGATGATTACACACTTACCTTGCACTAATGATCCCCGGGTGCCTTTGTGGTGGGGATTTCTCTGCTGCTGCTGCCTCTGCCACTGCTGCTGAATTCACCGCTAGTGCAGTGGACACTGGACCCTGAGCTCTGAGGCTGTTTGGGAGGCCAGCACAGGGCTCCCTGCTGTGAGCAAGGGCTGATGAAGGTGTGGCAGGCCCAAGCCCCCTGCTGGGACAGTCAGTCCCAGGCACAGCATTTGGAGGGTCTACTTAGTGGGCCCTGTATTCACCAAGAGCATAAACTTTGCATAGGGGAGATTGGAGCCTGTTGAGAACCCTCAGGCTTGAATCCTTGCCTCCATCTTAAGAAATCAGGAAGCACAGGGTTTTTCAGTGACTCGGTGGCTTTTGGATGCCCATACCTGCCCTTGGGCTATGGCTCTTTAGGGTCCCTGCTCCCGCTCACTGCCTTTGGGCAAGGTCTGTAGGGAGTAGGCAGAGCTACAGATGGCCAGCTGTGGTGCTAGGTTTCTTTCTGGGGCCACTCTCATCGTTGGGCATTCACTGGGAGGCCTGAGCCAGTCCAAACAGCCCTCCTGCTTCTCTTCTGGTAACAGGGCCAGCCCAGCCTCCCCTGCCCTTCCCACCACCCCCTGTGCTCCTGGCCAGTGCCTTGTGTTTGTTACCTCCACACCATCTGCCTTAAAGGGGAGGA